TTTTGAACACCCAAATTCGAAAATAAAACAAACCAGTGGGAGAGAGGGCGCTCAATATTTCAACATCTTCATCACTTCAAAATTTCCATACCCCCAATATACATCTGCACACAACATTCATACCATTTCAAAGCTTTCAAAATGTACGGCTTTAGTATATATACTTCAGCGTAAGAAAATTTTTTACAAAGTGGATGCATTCAACATTTTTTTCACACCTTTCAAACCCCTCCAACAGATTTCAATTTTTTTTTTAGTATATTACTGATTTTTTTTGTCACTTCAAAATTATGTTCAATGAAGATCAACCAATCGTTGAACGCCTATCGTAAAGAGATCTCCAAAAGACACCTCTCGCGGAGAATGCATGATTACACCAATCATATTCAACTGTATTAAACATCATCCTAAGAAAGGGTTACGAGTCCCCTCAATCCAAAATAGTCATACATACCTTTCAAATAAAAAGTGGAACTGGCTCACGTGGTGAAGTATTACCACAAGCTGTACAACGAGTATATGGTCATCTCGTGAAGTGCGACATAAACCATTCAATTCACTTTTATCTCATGTGTTTATCCCCAATTGATCTAAGAAGAGTAAAGTTCAAGGACGAGCAAATCTTATACGACAATCATTTCGTTAAAACCTAGGCTGCCACCCGCACGGGTCCGACCGCCCAAACAAAAGAATTATGTCACGATCTATATGGAAAGGTCCATTTGTAGATGCTTGTCTGTTGAAAAAGCATTCGCGTGTGGCTCACCAAAGTTGGAAAATTTGGTCACGTAGATCTTGTATTTTGCCTAAATTTGTCGGTTACTATGCACAAGTTAATAACGAAAAATAATTTGTTGGTTTACGGATTACTGAAGATATGGTCGGCCGAGCAGGCGGGCCAGTGCAATTTGGACCCTCTTGCCTGGGTCACCCGAACAAGTAAGAGTGGTCAACAGACTCAACACAATTTCCCTTACGCCTTCTGATCACGGGGGATTTTTACACCCTCCAAAAGGGACCCAAATCGGTTTGGTGTTTTTCTTTTTGTTGATGTTCTTTTGGAAGCTTGAGGGAGGGGGGTAGGGGTTAAACATTAAATTGGGTGAGATTATTTTCCTGACTTCGTCTTGTAGGCTTTGCAAAACCCTCCGCCAAAAGTTTTTTGGTTTGCTATTCTGCACAACATACGTTTTTATCAAAAATTTTCAATTTGTTTTTTTTTGTGTATTGGTGCCCGGGACCCCACCCGGCCCAGTTGCCCAGCCACGCGTCCCGGGCAGGTCCTGTGTTTACTTCTTTAACTTCTTTACAACATTCTGTGTCTCGGGAGGAAGGTGTGTTCGGGAAATACCACCCCAAACACAGAATCCAAAACAAAAAGAGAATCATAATATACACAACAACAAACCCAATTTTAATGAAATAAGTCACGCCATTGGTGAGGTACTTAATGTGCTTGCCTTCAAACAAGTGTAAATGTCATCCACACACAACATAGGATGAGGCACGAGGACGTGAAGACGAAAGCAATCACAACTCGTTAGGACTAGAAACAGTTACGTAATTTGCAATGTCGTGAACTTCTACAAGATATTCATTATTCCATTATCGCTGCACCACTCTCAAATTTTACAAGGTCAATCTATCCATATGGACTGATTGGTGTAAGGAGGTTTTCTCAACAGCTGTGAAGGACTGCTGTATTGGCAATCTAATCATTAAAATAATATTTTATATTTATTTTCGGGGCGATACCCGACGTGATCCACCACGACATTGAAACATACGCGTTGCCTCCAACCAACAGCGTCCCTCTCTTAGCCAATGCGTGCCTTCCTTCAAATAAAATCTCTGCCAATACCTCCGAAATGAAACTTTGTGGTATGTACCATGCCCTTTGGACATAAATATATTATTGGTTGGACAGAGTCCGACAGACTCGTAATTTATACACGATTCTCCTCATTTTGCCAGTTCATTTTCGCGAGTCAGCGTGGTGGGAGATTTGCAGCGGCGTTTGTCTACGGGCGGTACCCTGAGACCCTCACAGTGGACAGCAGCCATCGCCAGTCTGAGGAAGACTTGCCATAGCTCTGCGAGCGGCGGGGCTGTGTGGAGACTCTTCACTGAGTCTATGTGGGTGGCGGCAGCCATAGCTGCCGGTTCTTCATCAGAGTTGTCCAGCGGCACTGAAGACTTCATCAGCAGGATCTGTTCTTCATCTGGGTGGTTGGTGCAGGCCTCTGGGAGGCCAGTCTGATGTGGCGCTACTAACTGGGTGTAGGGCAGTGAGTGGTGTGTGAGGTTCTGATAGTGGCAAGACACTGGAACAAACTCTGTAACGATTTCTGGTTACTTGGCTCATCATCAGTACGTATTGGAATTGTTATCCTCCTCGCAGGTTCTTTCTTGTGATTCGTTGTTGGGAGTATCGTCAGAGAGTGACAAACACTGTGTCCTCTCCCCACCTGTGCATTGTTGTGCTTCCGCTATCTCTTCTGATCTGTGTGCAGTTGGACTCTGTCTCCTCTCCCCCTTCTCTTATGCATGTATGGGGATTGAGATCTACAGACTCGAAAAACTAGTGGCGTGTATGAGACTGTCTGTGTGTGAGTGGCGGTAAAGATCGTCATTTCTTGTTGACCTGCTATAGCTGTAAAAGGACAAATAGGACGTTCTTTCTCAATAGTATTTATTATCTCTATTCATTTTTTTAAACAACAATTATATCCTAATTAACGTTCAGAATATTACAGGGGAGTTCCATAACGGAACTGGTCATCTGCGTGTGAAAAACACACAAATGCAACGAAGGGGCCTACTCACTAACAATGATAACGTTAAGGAAATAACACCATTTCCCATTTCAATATCGTCAAGGGGAGAGAGAGAGAGAAAGATTTGGGGGTTGAGAGTTCCAAGTCTTTCCAAGCATGGGCCTATAACTCGGTTAGAGTATAGGCCTCAGTAGTTCAAATCTACTTGGGCCCACTCTATAACCACTTTTTTCAGAAGGTACCGAAGGTGATATTTCTTGCAGTGCACTAGCCTTCCATAAAGAATCTTGCATTCTTGAATTTGGCTATGTCGAATAAAGAATCTTGCATTCTTATTGAATATTTTGAGTGAACCATCTCCCAGAAGAGATCCTACAATAATTGCTTTCAGTTGATCCGACAAAGATATTTGTTTTAATTTTTTTACGAGACAAATTGATTGCTGACGTACTTGTTAAAACTGTTTCCATATCTTCTATCTACTTTTTTTCATAGTCTCTAAGGGATCCTCTTGCTAATATTTATCAAATCAACACAGGACTTCCCTTGGGATTGATCCATCCAAGTGATGTAAATGAATGTTTAAACCCCCAGTACTCCCTGAAGTCGTGCCCAAGCCACGATTTTAGAAAATGTAGGCCACTGCAGGAGCACCCGAATACATCCAACCAGAAACGTTTCTACTCTATTTTTCTACGTGCCCAATATCTGGGCCAAGTACTGGTGGTTGTACATAGAGGGGAAATGAAAAATAAGACTCGAAATTGGTGAAATTGGCAAATTTCTGGCTGTAGACGAAGGAAGCAGAAGCAGTCTCAGAAGCAGAAGAATCATACGTGGATTGATATAAGCAAAAGCAACCCATTTGCAACAAACAGGGCCTGCTGGGCCCGACCACCCCACACGAGGCACCAGGTGCAACTCGGCATGTGCACAGCCTCGCTGGAACAGCCCCTTTTCTGTGTTTCTACTAGTACAGTGTTCAAGACTGGCAGCGTTTGGCGCCTTGTTGGCACTTCCTTGTGGTCATCACTTTTGCGCCTTTTTGTGGGAAAGTGCCGCCCGGCACTTTTTCGCTCCTGCATAACCCTTTTCCTCGTGCTGCTGCATGGCCCTTTTCCTCATGCCACCGAGGCACTCATGTACTCCTTTCGCATGTGAACTGTGGTGCAATCTCATGACATGTGCGAACACAAAGTAGTTCGACATGAGTCTGGTCCTCAGGTAATGGACGCTGTAAAGTTGTCGCCACCACCCCGAAAGCGATGACTATAATAGCATTGTGCGAGATGTCCTCGGGAGTCATCCGCCCTCGTCACATTGATTAGGATTCCTACATCAACTCCGTACACAATGCTACTATACAAAAACCCACCAAGTTGCAGTATGGCTGGCTGGCAGCCACACAAGCTTGGGGAATTAGTGACGAAGACGTGATAACCAAAAAACCCTCTTCCATAAGGTTAACTGTGCAATTCGCAAATATACTTTCAGTAGCAATCTTAAAAGTACAGAAGGCACAACTTACAATGGTTGAAGAAGCTAGCGAGCGTACGTCCTATATCCAAGGAGTGAGATGATGTTCCGGTTAGCATGAACGATTTCACAATGGAGACAACTGTCAGCAAGAAATTGGTACCTAAGAAAGCGGACCATACGACATAAACTAGGCTGGCTAGTGGAGCTCAGAAACGCTTTCCCATTTAGTGAACATCACTTAAAACCTGAAGAACTGTAATCATGCCTAGAGACTAATGCCCTTCATGGCATTTACACTTACGGGCAGGTAATACATGCATCGCCTCACCATTGATAGGATCGTCACTTGAAGCAATGAATGTCAACAGAGAGGAACACCAAGTGTCATACGCTCATTTCAGTTGAAGCACTCCAAAAGACAAAAGAAGATGAGTCCATTGACCATGCTGAACTGAAACACAACAAATACACTACACTAGTTTTTTATTACAGGAGAGTAGCTCAGTTAAACCGTTTCTTAGATTGCAGCCTTACAAATAACCAAATACTAAATACTACATAGTTTTTCTTCATGCCAACATTTCACTCGTACTTTGACATTCTTCATGCCAACATTTTACTTTTGACATCCTTCACGCCAACATTTCACTCATACTTTGACCCTGTATATACCCTTTCTCCACCAATAGAGAAATTGTTCCTGAAAGAGTTTAGACCGAGGGGGACAGCAGGATGTGGGGCGCTGAGCTGGCCCAAGTTTTGTTCGATGTTAAGTAATTCCTATCTCATTTGCGCTCATGTCAAGGCTCGAGTTTGAAACCACACACAAAGTACATACAACTTTTGTGTTTTTGTGTGACATTTTGTCGCTCGTGACCTTTGAGTCTATAATGCCTTTCTAAAACATATTTCACTCAGGAGAGAGAGAGAGAGAGAGAGAGAGAGAGAGAGAGAGAGAGAGAGAGAGAGAGAGAGAGAGAGAGAGAGAGAATCCACGAATTCTTAATCAAAATTGAACTAACAAGATTTGGCCAATCAGCATCCGACCTCAGCGCCAGAGTAAATACGAGTCGAAAAGACAATAACCACTCATTCCCAACCTGCAGGAACTATGGCCAAATGCTGCATATAACACTGAGGCAAACCAATCCTACACACACACACACACACACACACACACACACACACACATCCAGCAAATCCTCCTCCCTCTTTCCCAGCAACCACCGCCCTCACAGCGACATGTCATACATTTGCTCTCTCTGTACTCTATGCCCAGTTCTCCATGAGCCCTCGAGAAACTCTCAGATTCTAGTTTTGCCTCTGCAATGTTGATATCCAAGAAGATTCCCTTGCCCATCTACCCGTCACTGCTCCACCAGCATCGTCCACATCACCCCCACCTGTGCCCTTCCCGCCTCCACTGCGCAACTCGTTTATCATCCAATTGCGAAGGGCGCGAAAGCTGCCCGCCTTTTGCACAGAATAGAAGCAACACAAACCTGACCTCCTTGCACCTCAGCTAAGAACTATAAGTAGCAGACCATTACAGAAAGGTATCCTAGACTTGAGCGAAGTATAACCCCAAACACTCAGTCAACCAGCCCCAGAGACACCACACACAGCAATAGTTTGATCTGCGGCTTCCAAAGCACTTGCGCCAAATAGAAATGGAAAAGCAGACCATTATAGATATCATAGACTTTAACGAAATGCAGCCCGACATGCTCACTCAACCATCCCCAGAGACACCACACACCAAATGTTTAACGCACGCCTTCCAAATCACTTCCATGAAAGGGTAAGAATAGAAAGGTATTAAAGTTTGCCAATCAAATTCTTATTACATGAAGAAAAAAGAAAAAGGTCCGCACACTCGCAGCAAGTCCCAGCAAATACGAAGAACCACCCACTTATTTCCACACTCTCTCCTTGCTCTGCAATCAAGCAAGCTACTGCTTGCTTCTCGTAAACCTTTGAAGAACAAGGGCAAACAGATTCGATAGCCACTCGCCCTTCCCCCACCCCTCCGTCCGCCCCATGCCACCCCCTTCTGTATCTATCCAGCCAGCCATTCACCCTTCCCGTGCCTGTCCCTCGGCACCCAGGAACCTCTCCTTATAGCGATAAAAAGAGACCAGCGGAGATTAGAAGAATATGCTCACCTGCCTGCAAGCGCAAAGCTGTAAAACCCATATAGATACAAAAAACGTCTGTTAGTTTGCCCAAAATCGATCCGTTTGGACGAAACTCTAAGAGAACTGTATGAGAGGGAATGCACTTCCCTTACCTATCCAACCACCTCGCCGATTTCCTCCCAAGACCTCTTGCTCAAGCTCCATCACGATTCACGACCTCCTTACCCGCTCTATCATCACCTACCTTCATCCTTCGCTCATGTTCAGCCATCATAGTCCACACTTTATCCTTTCCATTGCAACCTACCTTCGTTCTCGTCTCTTTTGGTCGTCGACTCTTATTCCATCCGTTCCACACGAGAAAGAGCTCAACCAGCATGGCCAGCACCGTCTCAGAAAAGAAAAGCAAGCAGGCACCACTGTCCTTCTCTCTCAAAGAATTACAGGCCAACTTCCTCAATCAATTGTGATGTGCAGCCACAGTAGGGATCAATGAATTTAGCTACAAAACAAGCAATGACAAAACATATTCCCCATCTCTCTACACCAGCCAGCTAGGGTGAACGGGCCTCTGTCAATCACACAATGCAATCACCAGTACATCCTGATGATCTGCAGGTTAACCAGGGGACTTGGTTCGGATGTACGGTCCTCTGGTTGGCTGTGTGGACATCATGTGTGATGGGAGAACTGCCAGAGGTCCGCAGAAGGACATCTTGTGCTTGTGGTGAGAAAGCCTTAACCCGAGGATTTTTGCCAGATTAGGTTTCCTCGGGTTCTGTGAGAACTGCCAGAGGTTAATCAATCAGGTGAGACAAGCCACCGGCCTCAACCCGAGGATGAACCAATCAGGCAAAAATACAGTTAAGGACGACCACCAATTCAACACCGTTTAGATTTTTGCCAGATTAGGTTGCAAAATTTGCAGGGCATCGTCGCATGTGCAAAATTTGCAGGCCATCGTCGACGGCATGTGCAAAATTTGCAGGTCGTCGTCGTATTCATCATGCGGACGAATCAGACGGCTGACTCACCTTGGCCTAGCTACCAACCCCCGAAGTGCTTTAGTCCTTTCAAAAACCTTAATGACGCACGCATAAAACGCCAGCAACAACTTCCTGACGCCCCTCAACTCCCCCCCTCCCCCCCAAATTCCTGACTACCCTCCCCCCCTCCATCCCCGCAAACTCTCCAGTTGACGCAACCTGAATTTTTCTAAGCATCTCTCATATACGCTGTTTGGATGTAAGATCGAATGGCAGGCAGGTGTGTCAGCGCTGACGGTTTAGCCTCGTCAGTCCACCCATTGTTCACTGACATTCTTACCAGAGAGTGAAAATACTGTGAGTCCGACAGTGTTTGGTGAACCACTGGGCTTGTGCACTTCATTGAAAGCCGGATACCTTTGCCAGGCTAGATAGTGACTTCCATATTCCATATTCTTTCTGCACTTCATCCCAATGATTGTCGTCGACATCCGAAAGCACACAAGAGAATGTACCTGCCTCATGGAAGTTTGGCTGTGAACATAATCAGCGCCTGGAATTCAATCATCCTTTGTGCTGCACTTGCTTGTGCACGCTGAGTATCCACTCCATATAGCTGGGCCCAGCAGCGGTGCGATCCTCTACCAACAGGTGCTGCACAACAGGTTCCCAACGATCTCCCGGTCGCACAACAATGCACGGGGGCTGCACCACCATTCCCTCTCTTCTGCTCTCTACGATCGCCATAACTCGGGCCGACACATTGTTCTCTTTTCTCTGCAGCACCATCTGTCAACGACACACGTACGGATTCGTGAGCGTGAGGTGTGGATAGGGGTGAAAATATCAAAGAACACACGACGGGTTCATCATGAACTCAAGTCGCAAGTAAGAGCGAAAATAGGTTTCGAGCTTCATGAACCGATTTCTGCATTTCGTGAAAAAGGAACCCATTACCATTTATCAAAGCACACCGATTCTGTTTGGTTCATGGGCATCCCTGATACATTGCATTTCTTTTTCTGTTTCTTGTAGAAAACTGCGATGGACTCACGAGAACACCTGCGAAACAGGATGACGAAATCTTCCAAAGAACAACTAGCCACCTTAGGACAACGGCTTTGAGTCTGCTCTGAGATATCATCATTGAACTCACCAGCCGCCTCACAGGTAATTCAGAATGGACTTTTGGTCACCTGGTATTTTGGATTTGACCTTGGGCCCTCGCATCTACCAAACAGTATCACATTCCTTCGCACCTCTGCTCTTCGCTTACCTCACAGACATTGCTCTGTCCGCAGTCATTCAACAATTCCTTGATAAGGAGCTCAGGACACCATCCACAACGCGCACTCGTTAAAACGCCACAAGCAGCAGTTATTTAAGGTCTTAAAGAAGCAAGCACAAACAGTGCATGCAAGTGTTGGGTTTGAGAGGGGAGGGGGGGGCAAAGCGCGGCACACACACGTAGAGAGAGAGAGAGAGAGAGAGAGAGAGAGAGAGAGAGAGAGAGAGAGAGAGAGAGAGAGAGAGAGAGAGAGAGAGAGAGAGAGAGAGAGANAGAGAGAGAGAGCGAGAGAGAGAGAGAGATTGGAATGCAAACATCTTTTGCCTGAGGATCCTGTCGAAATTTGCAACCAAAGTCGACAGAAAAAAGAAAAAGAGAATAGAAACATTCTTTTAAGGCAGCCACAATTGTCTTCTAATTTTATTTTATGTTGTATTATTATTATTTATCTTTAACTGTCTCGGAAACCCCCCATCCATCCTTCCTCTGATCAATTACCCCAGCACACCCCCAAGCCCTTTGGCCTACCTTAGATTAGACCATCCAGGACCATCACCCACCGCGAATTGGCAAGGTGACCTGACCAGACAGCAGGCAGGCACCCGGGCTGAGAAGGGGGGACCCCTAAGCGGATGCCGTGCAAGCCCTGTTGCACAGGTACTTCGGGAGCTAGGTGTGAACGCGGAACTACTGGCCTTTCCAGAGGGGGTTCAGACACCCCGTATCCCCCAATCGGTATTGTTCTTGTGACCTGGGCCCCCCGTATATAAGTCGAACTACAACCTAGATATCACGGGCAGTGTCTCTGATGGCACCCCTTAAGCCAAGGTCTAACCTCGTGACATCCCCTCTAGAAGCCCAGGTTACTTCCCTAGTGATACCGTTGTTGTGGTTATTCTGAGCGTTATTTGATTGTACGCCAGTCTGACGTGATCCTGCCCTCTTTTTTTCCCTATCTTTAAGTCCAACCAATTGAATTACCTGTCAAATCTGGACAGGACAGCCTTTCAGGCCTTTCTTTAATGTCATTACAGTATTGTTACGGGAACCCCATAGCAGCCACATCCGTGCCCAAGTCTCCAAGGAGGGAACATGTGTGAGCTGCACCCACCAGCAGGTGCAACACCGACGATGGGTCAGCCCGTAGCTTCAGGACCGAGATGCTTCGATGTGCCAGGCACTCTGCCTCTGCCTTCCCTCCGCTCTCCTCCCCTATGAGCATCAACAGTCTCTGCTTGATGTCACTCAGGGGGACCAACGGCATACCTCTAGGTGGCGGGCGCCAAGCTTCCCCAGAAACGTGCATGAGGCCAATGGGGAATGAGCCCAAGACCTGAACGCCACTGCCATGCCTTACAAACTGAGATAGGCTGCTGCATTCCTAGCCTCTGTCATCAGCGGGGTCCACAGTCCAATCATCCATTACGTCTTCTCTGGGATGAGTTGTTTTAGGGTTATTTCTGATGCTTTCTAGAATGATGAGTTTTTTGAACTGGAAAAAATCTGGAAGAAAAAATGGTCTACAGCAGAGACATTGGGTTTTCTGATCATTTCCTATATTGCACGCTGGCCGCGGCCGGTTTCGGCCCAGGCCGCGGCCGGCCCGGCCGAGTTTTTTCGGCCGAGTTTTCGGCCAGTCTGGGGGGCGGTTTTCGAAGCCAGGAGCGGGTATGGGGTGGGGGGGGTGGGGGTGTGGGCACCCCCTCGAAGTTAAAGGTCAAAAAAACAAAAAACGGGGGGGTCCTGCACATGGCTCTGGAAGGGTGGGCCGCAAAAATTCGTGCGTCCCCCGCGTGCGGGTTCGTCGATGCAGGGTCGCAGGGAAGAGGGTCTGGAACACTAGAAAACAATTAAAAAATTTTGACCCCTGCGCGGGTGGGGCCAACGGGGGTTGGATGAGGACCTGGTTGGGGCGGCCCCTGCGGCATGTGCGGGTCGAAGCTGGACGGGGCTGCGGATGGCAGACCCCAGGCATATCAGGGCCTCATGCACTGAAAGGCAGGTGTCGGTTTCATTCGTGAGGGTGATGAGAGTCCGTGACATATTTGAAACAACAGATTAATGGCAATCATAGGTGAGACCCTGATTGGCATACCAAAGTCACAACACATTCACAATCAATCACAGTGCGGCCATCCATAAGTTTCAAACCATGTTAACAGGCAACTGAGGCAAGTGGCTCATAGTGTGTGTTCACTCATCAGACTGATGGACGTTTTTGTAAGAACACATTCATTAGCACAACATCCGTGTTTTGGCATCCGAAATTAACAGCACATTCATAATGGAGGCATCCATGACATGCAGGTGCGTGGAGGCATTCATAATTAACAGCACATTCATTATGGAGAATCACATAATTTGCAACAATCAAGACAACAAACGAGAAACCACTCACCAAAAAACAGAGACTCAGATGCAAGACCAATGTTGGTAGAGGGACATGAACAAGAGCAAAAATATGACAAAGCATTTCAATGGGCATGCGTCCTTGGATTGCTGTTGCATATTCTGCTCCTGTAGCAGCAGCTGCTGCTGTGTTTTTAATTTATCCTATTGGACAAGGAAGCTTCTCTGATGGAATGCCTTTGGGTATTTCTGGAACTTTCAATTTTATGATTGTTTTCCAAGCAGAACACAATATATTAATGCATCCTTTTCATATGCTAGGTGTAGCTGGTGTACAAGGCTGAAGCCAAAAACTGTACCCGTCGTCTCTACTGTGCAACCTAGTAGCAAAAAAAAACTGGACCCTATGTACAAGGCTGAAGCCAAAAACTGGACCCGTCGTCTCTACTGCACAGACGAGTAGCAAAATAAAGAAAAAAAAAAAAAAAACTGATGTCCACATACTGTCGTTGTCTCCATGGAACAACATCGACATAAAATGCAACCACCCTGCCTACAGAGCAGCCAGGCTGTACAGCCACGCAAAAAACAAAAAGAAATACTAAAGAAAAAAAAAAAACACGAACGTCATCATCATCTCCCTCCAAACGCGCGTCCTCTCCCGGAGGACAGGCGGCCATAATGTCCTCCCCGCCGCCCTCCTCTCCCTCCGGCACCTGTGCCCCGTACCCCGCTGAGGTATGCCACCTGTGCACCAGTGGCTGTCGCATCCACCTGTGCCCTGTGTCTGCGGGCCGCAGTCTCGATCGGCTCTGACTCTGTGTCTGCGTCCTCGTCCTACGCCGCCAGTGCAGCAGTTCCCATCTCTCTCTCCCTCTGAATCGCGTCCAATGCGGCCTGGCCAGCGGCGACCTGTGCCGCGAGTCGAGCCTCGACCTCCGAGAGGCTGCACTGTCCTCTCGGCCCGGGACGCATCAACAACCCCTCCTCGCCCGATGTGTACTGATGTCCCCGCAGCATGCCCGTGGATGTCCCTGCGGCCGCGAGTCGAGCCTCAACCTCCGAGAGGCTGCACTGTCCTCTCGGCCCGGGATGCATCAACAACCCCTCCTCGCCCGATGTGTACTGATGTCCCCGCAGCATGTCCGTGGATGTCCCTGCGGCCTCGAGGACCAATGATCTCCTCGTCTCCGCTCGTGACAAACCGAGCATGCGGCCTGCCATCTGCAGGCTCGGTCGTCCGGACCCACCCTCTGCAGCCTGTGTCTGAACTGGCGTGCGTCCCGTGAAGACGCTGCTCCCGGCGTCGTAATCAACCCACAACCGGTCCCCGACCCAACGAACAGCTGACCATTCGCCACCCACACCACCTTGGACTGTCGGCGAGAAACCGCCACTGTGCACAACTCCGGATGCCGCCGTCTGGTCCCCGACATCGACCCCGGCCTCCGGAGTCCGTGCGGCCCGTGGAGGCATCGATCCTACACTGTCTCTGCCGCCGTCGCTGTGTCTGTCAGACCCCACCTCACCCGCTCCGGACTACCTCCCTTTCACATCGCTGAGCGACGAACCGGACCAGCGAGGGCTCTGCACCATGAACGGCAGCGGTGAATATACCCTCCCAAGGCCCTGCCTCTTGCCGCTCTTGCGGCTCATGTGTGCGAAAGGGTCATCCGTCAACACTTGCGCCAAAGCGTCGGCGTCGAAGAAAGTGCGCGCTGAGTCGTCAGGGCGCAAGGGAGGTATTGTGGGGTCCCTCAACACCAAGGAGAGCCTGTACGCATCGTCCTCGGGACCGTGGTCATCGTCATCACCTCCGTCCGGTCCATCGTCTCCCCCGACACCCGCGGTATTCCCATCTCCATCGGGTCCACCCTCTCCCCTGCCACACATGGCGGTACCCTGCCCATCAATGGCCTCATCACCCATGGTCTCGTCGTCGCCACGCCCCCCACGAGGGAACCCAACGCCCATGACAACATCCTGCCCCTGGTCACACGCGGTCTCCCCGTCGCTGCGTCGTCCACCACCTGACCCACCACCCAAAATATCCTGCCCCTCATCAACGAAATTTCCCTGCACTGCCTCCTCAGGGACACCCGAGTCGTCGTCGTCACGGCCTCCCGCCCCTCCTGTCTCCAAATCCCTCTGCCGCCGCTGCTCGTCAAGATACGCGAACCGATCCTCACACTGTGGCAAACTCCCTGGCCGCTCCTCTCGGTCCAAACGGGCACCCCTCTCCTCCTCAGTCTCATCAGGGTCCCCGTCGGTGTGCACCTCCGACGGTAAGGCACCTCGATGTCCCTCGACACTAAAATCTCCCAAGCCCCCATCGAGCCCTCCGACATCAAAGTCGCATGTGCGGAGCTCCGACGGCGAGCGGGGGCGGATACCAGCGTTGGAAGGAGTCTCCCCCCCCCCCCACGATCCTCGCCGTCATGTGTCCGGTCTCTGCTAGCTGCCGACGCCAACCTCTCCAACCGATTAAGTGCCTCGGGATGTACAACGCTATGATGATGGGAGGGAGAGAAGCACGATCCTGAAGGGACACCCGCTCATCCTCGGCCTCCTCCTCGGCCTCGCTGTCGCTCCTAACCTCCCAACGCCTGCCTGTCTGCCGAAGACCTCCCTGTGGCTGCTGCTCCCCCGAGTCGTCGACGCCAACCTCCGCATTTGAACGTCCACCACGACCACCACCGGCTCTGCTGCTGCCACTCGCTCGTGAGGTCGACAGCACATCACCAGTGATAAGTGATGTGAATGAATCCATGTCGTCACGACTCCCATCGTAAGTGAAGTACACATGATCAATCGTCGGGTCGCCACTGATCGGATTGTCATCATCGTTCATCATCGTCTGTCCAGTCGTCGTCGATGTCGTCGCCTGCCGCAGCAGTGTCCACATCATCCCCACCCTCCGGCCACGGTCGCAGCTCTGTCGCCCTGCTGCCGAACACATCCCGAACCGAACGGGCTCTGGACAATCGGTTGTCATGGAAAGCGACAATCTGCCGCTGAATCTCCTCCTCGAGAACACTGCCAGCAGGTCGCGCTCCCCACACCTCGGGCTCCACGTCTCCCTCCTCATCCTCGTCCGCTGCCGCTGTCCCTCCCGACCGGTTCCCATAACCCATGGCAACACGTAGCCACCACCCTGCCGTGCACACGAGGCCACGTTGAGATTGGTGGCAATCTCAACCAGCTGTGCAAGCTTGGTGAACCCAAGCTTGCAGCGCCTCACCGTGTTGACGCGCTCGTGCTCCACCCATTTCCTCTCCGCTGGAGAGGCAGACGTCCACAAGTGCATGACACAGATGGCTATGGTGCGCAACTCCGGATGGGCACGTCCATGCTCAAACCACCACGCTGCACATCGCACGGTCTTTGCTGTCCCCCCTGCAATCGGCCGCCTCGTCATCGAAAAGCTCGCCTCGAGTGGAACGCCCTCATCTGGTCCCTCACGGTCATGTTAAGTATGTCGACCGAATCGCAGCCAGTCTGCGCCAGGAGATATCTGTCGCACTCCTCGACCACACGGCGCTCGTCGGCGGTCGTCTGTAATGAATGGTAACACCTGAGTGACCGTCAACGAGGGTTGAGGAGGTGGGCCGCAGCATGTGCGGGCTCTAGCATGTGGAGGTTGCGGATGGCAACGTCAGACACGCACGGCTCGATCATGTCCGCCAGCACGTCGACCCTCCTCGTCAACTCCAGCACATGCCGACTCCACTCGTAAACCACGGACATCATCATCCCCCCCCTATCCATCCTGCGCAACAGCTGGTGGACGTGCGACATGACAAGGATGGCGTACTGCATACAACACCAACACTTCGCGTCCCGGATCTGCTGCTGCACCCACTGCCCCTGCGATACATGCTTGCGCTCCCACGGGATGCGTGCCCAAGCATCCCCGTGCAATATGCTCTCCAACGCGTCTCGTCGGCCTTTGCGACACATGAGCATCAGGAAAACTGATGCGAACCGTGTCTCAACGGGCTCGACGAGCTGAACGTGAGGGCTCACCTTCCTAAACAAGGTGTGACCGGCGCCGTGCGATTTAATAAATCGCACAAGCGCTCGAGCGCGGATGATGGTGTCCTTGACCCACACCACTCGCGTCCCGATATCAGACAACATCAAGTTACAGACATGGGTGGAGCAAAGGAGCCAAGTGATCCTCCTGATGTCGGGCTTGGGATCAGTGGCGAATCTGCGCGCTGCCGCCGTATAGTTACTGGCGGAGTCTGTGCAGAAGCCGATCACGACCTTTGCAGGAAAGGACAAGATGATGGCCCACCACCTACGGTACACGATGTCCGCTGTGTCTCGGACCGACCCGTCACGTGCGATGGTGGCGTATAGCAGGGCGCCATTAGCGCCCCCGACGAGAAATTTCACGAGCGGCTTGCCGCTGCGCGACTTCCTCCCGTCGGAGAGGATGGTGGCACCGTTGTGCCGGAAAGTGGCGCGCACCTCGCTCACCATCGTCGCCACCTTCGCCCTCTGCAAAGGGATACCGGCGCCTGCTGTAACCCTGTAGGAGGGAAACCGGAACTGGATAGAGCGAGGCACTCTCTCTGCCGCCTGCTGCACCCTCTGGAACTCCGAACCACGGAAGGCGTTGAATGGCAACTTCACGTAGACCCACTGAAGCCACGCGTCTGTGAACTCGACCAACTTCTCCCTCGCATGCATCTCGTCAATTGTCGTCTGCCGAGCCCTCTTCTCCCTGGCCGTGTCTCGCGCCTCGACGTCAACCACCCCCACAATCCTCCTCTCCCTCCTCGCGCAGTCCAACTCAGGTCACGGCGCCCTAGGAGCGGGGCCCGCTCGACCAACGCCTCTCGACGTCATCGCCACCTCCTCCCCTAGCAGATCAGGCTCTCTGACTGCCACCCCCCCCTTCCCTGGCCCCACCCTCGCAGCCCTCATCGAGGGCGTCCTGAATGTCGTCCCTCTCTCCGTCGTCCGTCCGCTGTCACTGGGCACCCGTGGGCGGTCTCATGTCCCGTATCCACTCGTCCGCCATCCACCTCTGCACCCACTGAGCAGTGGACGGCACGAACGTGTAGTCCGTGCCGTTCCAAAGTTCCACGAGAACTCTCATCCCCCCAGCCTTGCAGTACTTCGACTGCGTGAAACGGCGCGCGGCCTTCGACGACCCCCCCTGAAATATGTGGCCGCATAAGTTGCAACGCAACTTTCGGTCCCCATGCATCTTGGACTGGTCCCCGACGTACTGCCCCGCTGTGACGAAGTTCCAAACAATGTTCCCCCGCCTCAGCTTCGCCATCTCCTTCTCGGACAGCGGGTTGAACTGTGCACCCCCAGACCCCCCCGCAGCGCTGGTCCCTGCACCCCCCGTCATCGCCCMCCCCCCCCCTCCCACCCGAGTCCAACAAGTCGTCGCGTTGATCGCCGATGTCGTCCGACCGTGCCTCACCGTCGACGCAGGCTCCGAAGTCCCCGCTGCCGCCACAGCCGCTTCGAAACGCTGTTGTCCACGCCCGTGCCCCCCCGCCGACCCCGGCCTGTCGGCCCCTCCCGCAGGCGAGAGCCGAGCCGGCCGCGCCGGCCTCATTCAGCCGCTTTCGGCCGTGTTCGGCCGCTTTCGACCGTGTTCGGCCACTTTGGGCCGTGTTTGACCGCGTGCGGCCTCGTTTGGCCGCGGCCGGGCACTAAAATGGCAGCGCGCTGAAAAAGGCCGTGCGCGGCGATGGCGACGGCCGTCGGCGGGCCGCTTGCCATCGTGGCGGCGCGGCGCGCACCGCTGCCTGCTGCGCAAGAAGAAGAAGAACTCTCTCTCTCTCCCTCTCTTAGCTACGCAAGAAGAAGAAGATCTCTCTCTCTCTCTCTCTCTCTCTCTCTCTCTCTCAGCTGCACAAGAAGAAGAAGAAGAAGAACTCTCTCTCTCCAGTGCAGCAGGTACGTAGTAAACCAATCTTGTATCTCTCTCTCTCTCTCTCTCTCTCTCTCTCTCTCAGCGTGCGAGCAGGGATTTCGGCAGCATAACGGCAACAGCAACAACTGTTGCCGTTTCAGATAAATGGCAGCATTTATCTGAAACGGCAACAGTATTGCCGTGGCCTGGGCCTGGACCCACTGCCCACACGATGCCCCTCACCCAGTGGCACCCAAACAGGGTCAAAACGGGCCGCCGGGCCTTTTTTTTTTCTTTTTTTCTTTTTTTTTTTCGTTTTTTTATTTTTCCGCGCCACGCGGAAGGTCCGACAGCGAAAAAAAAAAATATGGGCGTGTAGGGCTTTTCCAGCCCTACACGCCTCGTCAAACAGAACTGCCCAGTAAACCGTAGGCAGAGAGGGAGAAGAGGACAACAAACGAGTATATATATATTTTTTAACATGAAAAATAGGGGAAACAATTTGTGTACCGAACTCGGCTGGTCGGCCCAGGCGTGCAACATAATCATTTCTAGAACTTTGATTTTTTTTTAAATCGACAAATCTGGGAGGAAAAATGGTCTACGACATCGAAAAGCAAACGACTTTGGCCCCAAAAGTTGGGCCACATGCATACATTATATTTGACATACCCTGTATGTTAAATCACGTACGCCATACCCCGTACATGCTGTTATTAATACAGTCTACTTACATTTTTTGCGGTCTCGAGTAGTGGATCGACACCCACAAGATTAACACACTGCCACTGCAGGGATGCAATCGAGGTAGCACTCAGAAAAACAGGCCAAAACTCTGAGATTTGGCAAAAAGTCGAAGCTCGCAAGTCTGCCCTGGGGCCTCTCCCCCCCGACACAACACTATTATTATGCATTTGAAGCTCATAGTCGGCAGAAATCATGTGATCGATGGTTTTACAACGATATTGTGCTGAAAAGATAACCATATTGAAACCACCAGTACATTTCCCAATCATTTTTCTTCAAAACAGCGTGCATTACAGCTGCAAGATTTGAGGGTCGGATAAAGGTATGTATTCCATTCTCCATTCCGCGGACGTGCCATAAAGGTACGTATTCCATTCTCCATTCGGCAGACGTGCCACAAAGGTATGTATTCGGCGAACTTGCGAAGTCCGATCATCTCCAATTTCCCCGTGAGCCCACATAGCTCAGGTGGTAGAGCATTCCCTTGTTAAGGGAAAGGCCTCCGGTTCAAGTCTGGTCGTAGGCTCCGTCTTAAATTAAAAAAGAGATATATTACCAAACAAATGAAAAATTTGGCTTTCAAGTTTCAATTTCAGACCTCAACAACCAGCTGCTTATGGTGTTTTAAGATTAGCCAAATGGCCTGTGGGCCCAGGCATCAGGGGGCCCGTACCAGTTCGTTTTTTTGTCAGTGGGCAGGGCATTTCCAGACCCAGGAAAAAGTGGCTCTGCAGTTCTCGTGGTTTCAATACCCCCATGAAACAACTGTGGGACACGCTTGAAAAGATTGCGAGGGTGGAAAAGTACTCACATTATTGTCCGCCGCTCCAACAGTTTCTGGTTCTAGAATTTGCCCCAGGAATTCACTTGAAGCCTTGCTTCCAACCCACAAGAACATCTTCAGGCCATCATCCACAAGATAGACTCCGTGCGCATCCAGCTTTTCGGCCGCCAAAGGAAGCGCTGGAGGTAGGACGAGTTTACCATCTTTGCCGGCCGTTCCACACTGATAGTACAATTACGCAAAACAAGGAAATTGGAAAAAAAGCCAGGATTCAAAATTAGAAAACACTTTCCAAATGCAAGCGCCAGAGAACTTCAGACACAAGGCAACCTTCTCGAAAGGGAGCACTCCGGTGTACAAGTACGCAAAACAAGCAAACTGAAAAAAAAGCTAAGATTCAGAATCAGAAACCACTTTCCAAACACAAGAGCCAGACAATTTCAGATACAAGGCAACCTTTTCGAAAGGAGGGCTCCAGTGTACAATTACGCAAAACAAGCAAAATGGCAAAAAAAAAAAGTCAAGATTCAGAGTCAGAAAACACTTTCAAAACGTGAGAGCCAGAGAATTTCAGACACAAGGCAACCTTTTTGAAAGGAGCGCTACGCGGTGTACAATTAGGCAAAACAAGCAAATTGGAAAAAAAAGCCAAGATCCAGAGTCACAAAACACTTTCCAAATGCAAGCGTCAGAGAATTTCAGACACAAGGCATCCTTTTCAAAAGGAGCGCTCGGGTGTTAACATTTAATTGGATCCCTGAGTGATGTATATTACTGCGGAAATTTGGTAGTAAACAGAGAAAAAAATTGAAATACACCATTTTGTTGGGGTGTCCAGCTAATCGGCTGTACATCCATTTGCAAGGAAATGACCAATGCAAATCACAATATAGTTAAGTAAACCAGATTGCAACATTCCATGGAAGTCCAGATAACTCTTTGCAGAAACTGAAAGCAACCTGATCTGTTGAAATACAGACCTGAGTTCGAACTCCACTAGAGAGTGATTCTGATCCACTGAGAGAAGATACTACAATTGGGAACAACCCAGAGCTGGTCAGCTCGTTAATCTCAAGGCCGGTGCCCTTTTTTTCTGATAAAAAAAGAAAGATTAGATTGAGCACTGCACAAGATAATGAAAGCCGTTTCTTGCCGCCAATCACCGATGCCAAACAATGTGGCGACCAAGAGATAACCAATGGACGCTCCTATAGACAGACTCCTTACCACTACAAAAGGACACAATGAAGATCATCAGCCCAATGTTGCGCAAGTGAAAAGCTTTCTTCTTCAATACCAGGCGAGTGCCTTGTCCCACCGCTCGACCATCCTTATGCCGGACCACAGTCCCTCTCAGCCCAAGGACCTCCGCTATCCCTCCACTTGGTTATCGAGCTCGCAGCCCGGCTATGGCTGCCGCTCACTCACACGCTGCTCCGCTAGAGGAGTTTCCCTTCGCCCCCCTCAAAGAGTTTCCCTCTGGCCCAAGTTCTTCCAGTACACGCACGTGCAGTGCTGCCGTACTTCCCTGCATGAGTCGGCATCCCCAACATTTGTCTGATGGCTGTGCTTGGTCTGACCTGACTGCACCCATCCCAGTACACTGTGCGCTGGGCGCTTCCAGAATCTTCCTGGGACCCAACTGCCTGAGGCCCGCACCTCCTCCGCATCTTCAAACACCAGGTGGTTCGACAGAGGCCCGTTCACCAGGTGGTTCGACGGAGGCCTCTGTCAATCACACGATGCAATCACCAGGTTGGTTGCAGAGACTAAAAGCAACTTCCCAAGGGGGCTGCAACGCCAGCTCTCACTGATCTCAGGCCCAAGCCAATATTTATGGCCCGGCCTTCACTGAAGGGCCAGCAGGGCCTTTTTTAACATTGCCCAGGGCCTCGTTCCTCGCACATTACTTGTCAAATGCAAAACCGGCAAACGTACGTGGCGGTAAAGCATGGCAACATGCATTCAATTGTGCCACAGGGTCTGCTCTCAGTTACGTTTTGGTAGGCAGCCAGGCACAAGTTTATGACCCAGAGAACACAAGTCCTAGAGATTTGTTATAGAAATCCCAGTCCACTTCCCATGCAAACCAATTCCATTCGCACATATCAACTCTATTAGTCCTCTTATGGCTTTTCACAGTCTCCCAGCACTGAAATCTAAAACTGACGTATGACCACCATGAGTACAGTGCGTGCTCAAATAGAAAAGACAAAAAAAAAAAAAAACGGAAATCAGTCAGCTCACCTCTGCAGACATGTCATCAAGCCTCCTCAGAGTCGGATAAAGCAACCGCAGAGTTCTCTCGACAGACATGGTCATCATTTCGTACCCAACGAATGAACGCTCGTCCGCTGCGACTTCCATGAACCCGCCACGAAGGGCTGGCGATTTGCACAGCGCAAGGACATACAGCGGAAGCAGTCGCAGATTCTCTGGGAAGATCAGCCTCCCTGCTGTGTGGTGCTGCATGGCAAACAGGCTGCGATATTCCCTCAGAGCTGCTACACACTTCTGTTGAGTCATCGTCCGCACCTCCTCTAGCCGTGAAGTGTACGATCTCTCCACGCCTGCACACAAGGACAAGACAATAATTCCTCGTCGTAAATCTTCAACAACACTACAGACACCATGAACAGTCAGTTGGAATGACAATAGTCACAAAACCCTCAGCAGCTTCAAAACGTTGAAAGCAGAACAGATTTCCCACCGAAGATGGGCAAATGCGTGAATAGTGTCTTGTGAGGTCAAACGATGACTGATGCACAGCTCTCCCTGCCCACGTACTCTCTAATACCATCCAAAGGATTTTGAGCCCAGAGAAAGCAGAGGGTAAGAATTATCCAAGAAGAGAGACACCATAGTCTTATAAAAAAGAAGCACGACGTTGGACTGCTAAAGATTCTGCATCACATCCAATGAAGGGGTTTAAACCTTCAAAACCATGCTGACGACGCATCTCATGCGAGACACCATCGTCGTATAAAAAAGAAGCGCAACGTTGGACTACTAAAGATTCTGCACATGCGCCCAACCCCTGCATTCCGGCTTACAGTGCACTGCGCATGTGGCGCACACTGAGCATGCACAGCACAGCCAACAATAACGGCTCTCCGGAAAAAAGTAGGCCCGGGGTGTTACAACCCCTTGTGCCTTGCCCATGCATGCCAAGTTGAAACGACAGTGTGCAAATTTTTTCCGCGCCGCGCTGAGGCCCGATCTCATTTGAGGCCAGCATATTACATGAAAGGGGGCTTGTATACACCTTCGATTTCTGAAAGGGGGGTTGTATATACATTCGAGACCCGGAAGCCAAACTTCAGGCAACCTACTTTCAGAAAACAAAAAAACGCCCGACGGCACTTTTTTGCTTTCTGAAAGCAGGCTGCATGGACTTGGGCTTCCTTGTCTCGAATGTATACAAGCCCCCTTTCAGGTAATACGCTGCAGACGGTACATGACATACCACAAGTTCGCCACAAGTATGGTTTAACCCGTTCAGTACTTCTCCAAGCAATTTTCATGCCATGCTACAACTTTCAGGAGAAAAACAAAACCCACTGGAAGTAAAGCGCTGGCACGGGCGGCCTAAAAAGAAAAGACTTCATTTCTTTTGGGCATGCCGCACACAATCCCCTTCGGCAAAAGAAAGCCTCCATACGCAGGGCATATTCCACACGGAACTACCTCACTTCCTCGTACTCACAGCAGTACTGTAGCATCCTGTATCAGACCGCAATCACACACAAGGGATGCTTTTGTTGTTCCTTCTCTGCAGTGTGTCATACCCCGACAGTCCGCACCCCTTGACTGGCTGCCGACCAGCCTACTTGTCGACTGGTTGGCACCTACCGGTCAGGGGTCCGCGGCACACCGTAAAAAACAATAAAATAGCACAAAATTGGCTCCAGGACCCCAAATCGCCACACCAACACCCCCATACACCCCCCGAATACCCCCAAAAGAGATTCATAAGTGTTCCCAGCAAGAAGCCCAGCGTTAAACCACCAGTACTTCCTAGAGTCTTGCCCGTTAATGCACCACGATTTAAGGAAACGTACAGGCTACTACAGGAGCGCCCAAATTCATCCGACTAGAGAGTCTCTGAGTATCCCAAACAGCTCGGCGGTCGCTGGCTAGGGCAAGCGGCCGTACTTTTTTGTGGTTTCCTGCTGATCGAACATTGCTTATACAATTTTCACTGGTTCGGAGCAAGCACTTAAAAGCCAAGTACGAATAAGCGTGTAGTTGTTCCAGCAAACGGCAACATTTTTCTTTAGAGATCACTGTCTAAGGCATCAATTCCTGAGTTTCAGCCTTGCGACCGTACTCCCCAGGCGGAGTGTTTAACACGTTAGCTAGGTCCCTCATCGAATCGCCCCCAAAAACCACCGGGCGTAGACCAAGGACCAACACTCATCGTTTACGGCATGGACTACCAGGGTCATTTTGAATTTAAATAAAAAATGGACTATATAATTCTCTGAGTTTTTGTTTCGATTCTTTTCTTTTCTGCGGCCGATACCTGGGCCAAGTACTGGTGGTTTAAGAGAGACCGCTACAGCTCTCCTCGACTCCCGAGAATCTCCAGTTAGAACTACAACCGACATCAATAAACAAATGATGCTATTCTCCACAAAGTTCTCCATGGACTAAGGGCGTCTAGTTCTGCGGCCAGCTTATTCATCAAACCCCCATTCCGGTTCCTTGGAAAGGCATGAGCTGCGCTTACCAACTTTAGCTAGTGCTGTTACCGTGGCACCAAGGTCCACCGCACGATACAAATCTCCAAGGTTGTCAACCACAGGAACAGCAGATGTGTGCACTCTGATGCGCCTCTCGCCACACGATGCTGTGTACCTGTCGGATACATTACGTTCGGAAGCAAAAGAAAAGAAAAAAGTAGTCAGCAGATCTACCGTTATGTATTTACCAGAATCACAGTTGCTGGGAAAACGGCCGGGACAGGGGGGGGGGKGGGGCAGACAGGGAGAAAACGTCTCTCATGCACATTTTCGGCTGTGGTGACGTGCACTGCCTTCCGGGCGGGCCTGAGGACGAGTCCCCCAACCGAATGTGCAAAATGAGAATGAATGTCCCGCTAGAACCTTGGAAAATGCACAATTCGTTTTCCTTTTGTGCCACTGGACCGTGTGGCATGTAGGCGATTGTCAGTGCCATAGACGGATCTAGACGGTTTGGGCTGGAACTGCGAATTCGTCATTCGGCTTGCTACCGACTCCGAGGGAACAGACGGGCGGTGAGAGCTCAATGATGGAGTCAAGAACGCACCACTACGACAGCATCTTGGAGGAGAGCGCTGTGCAATGGAACTGTGTGGGGGTGGAGCTCCTTGCCATTTGGCACCGATGTGAGACCGCATGTACACTGGTTTCGGTTGGCCAACGACGTGCGCAAATGGAGACAGACTGGTTGTGCGAGCTTGGTGATGCTGTGAACGCTACGTGGGCATCTGCTGGTGTGAGGGGCTGGCAGGTCGGGTCGGATCACGCTGTAGGTTTTGCGCACGCGGTTGGGTTCGTACCCGCTCGGATGATGACAAACAGGGCGAGGAGGGGGAAGACGACGAGTGGGAGGTGAACAACACACAGGAGGAACAGTGGCAGAAGGAGCAACGAACTGCAGGAAGAGTGGCAGGAGCAGGAGAACTGCAGGAAGAGTGGCAGGAGCAGGAGCGCCATGGGGAGAGAAGACGAGTAGGCAAGAGGAGCACAATGGGAGGGGGGGGAACGAGTAGGAGGATGAGCGGCATACAGGAAACACAAAAGGTATGCCCGTGTATCTCCTCATGTTCCAGTGGAAGATTCACTGTGACTGTAAGGAGGACGAGTCACATTTTATTTTGCACCCGTGCGTACCTGTATCGGCCTATCTTGTGGCAGAAGGGTTATTCTCATTTGCACCTTTGGTGAGCAGTCCCGCAACGACATTTCCGTAGCGATCCCGATTCTCATTCTCTCTCTCTCTCTCCCCCACCATCTGCCAATCCCGCACTAGCATTTCGGTAGTGATCCCGATCCCTTTATGCTGCAGAATCCGCAGATTTGTACCGGTGTCACAATCCCTATCCAGTCTCCTTCATCCACATCTCTCCCCCCTGCCCTCTCTCTCTCTCTCTCTCCTTTTCCCCAGCTGTCAATCCTGCACCGACATTTCCATAGTGACCCCTACTCCCCTACTGTCTCTCTCTCTCTCTCTCTCGGGGGGAGGTTGCACAAGCGCAAGACAAGGGGGAGGAGAGGAGGACGAAGAACATGAAGCCAACAAAAGATGGCCGTTTACCTACCCATGACCCAGCTGAAGATTCACCCCATTTTGTACGGGACGAGGGTCGGGAAGACAAGTGAGGGGAGTGGAACGAGGAGGACGGGGAGGACCACGAACAGGAAGACAAAACAATATGGCAAAACTCATTCCAGTTGTCAATGGAGGAGATCCGGGAGGAGGGGAAGGAGGGGTGTGGGGCAACATTGCAGCCTATCAGTTTTCCCTATTTTCCCAACCGTGAAAGGTACTAGTGGTTTAACAAAATAAAGAACAGAACATTTATCTCAACAACAATCGTGTTAGAAAATCTCCAATCAAAAGAAAAGTCTCTTTTCAAGAGGGGGGAAGAGGGGGGAGGGGAGGGGGGGGGCGGGGGGCAGGGGCTTATTTCATCCTTATTCAGGGGCCATGCTAATCTTCTCTGTACCATAATATTAATTCAATTTCGATCTTTCTAATTTCCTTTCCCTCCCTTTTTCATTCCCTTGTCTTTACTTTTTTAACTCCCCTCGCCCTCCCCCTCCCCCCACCCCCCTCTTTTTTCAACTCTGCTCAACCGATCGAAACTGCATTCAAACTTCAGTCCGTATTTTAACGGACGTCTTCAAGGACAGCTTTGTTTCTTGTGCCATGTCTAGATTTATGCATGTTATCCTTGCTCGGGCCATGCTCATCTTCTCTCCGTATCATTCCAATTTTACCGTACATCCCAAAGGACGTCTTTAGGGGGGGGAAAAAAAAACACACCAGTGTTTACATTCGTTCACGCCTGGCAATCGAGTCTGGATGTGGAGCATTCTCAATTTGTCTGCCACTGGACAGTTCAATCAACCCGGAGCGAGTGATGAGAATTATATCGCAACTTACAGGAGTGCGCTTTGCAAATAAGTCGTTGGTGTTGAAAGAATAGTATCCTCATGGCTGATCTGAATCACACACGCCTTGTCCGAATCCACAGCAGGTAAGGCAAGCAAATCGCTGCTTCGGATGAAGAAGTGCCCATGGTAGCTCGAAATGCGTAGACCTGAGAGTCAATACGATACGAGGACAAGGCAAAAGCACGGCTGTTAACTTGTTAAGTCCATGGGAGAAAGCTATTCTATCAATTTCTTTGGAGATTGAATAGCCAGAACACCTTCGTAACTTGAAACGCGTAGACCTCAGAGTCAATACAATAGAAAAGGCAAAAGCATGGCTGTTAAGTCGATGCGAGAATGCTATTCTATGGAGATTGAATAGCCAGAATACCTTCCAAAGCTGAGGGCACAACATAAGTTTGATTGTAACGGGAGGGAATTATACTACCAGCTTCAGCCCAATAGAACACCCTCTGTCATTACAGTGTATTTTGATGAACTTTCAGTCTACATACAGGGATGGCTACTGGAATGTATACTAACAGCTTCACCCCAATAGAACACCCTGTCATTACAGTGTGTTTTGATGAACTTTCAGTCAACATACAGGGATGGCTACTGGACATTCTACTCGGGTGAACATGCCCGTCTTGCATTCGTTGAAAAGAACATCCAATGTACTCGTGATCTTTCGAAATGCAAGCTAAACCAGAGTACAAACCTTTTACAGTTCCAACTCCGGCAGTCCTCTTGAGACAGCCGCAACCCCATACACGATGGCCAGCATTGCACAATTTCTTTTTCTTTTTGGTTATTTTTAAACCAACCACTTCCCCCTCTGTTCTGGGGGAGCAATAGAACGGTTGCTTATACCACAACTTCATACATGATGGCCAACTTTATACACTTTCAAATAGCGCTCTACCACAACTTCGAGAATTAAGAGTGAATATTTTCCTATCTACAGAGTATTTCTTAGACTTTGACAAGCTGCTTTCAGGCATGTACACGGATGACTCTTGCCAGCCTCCAGGCACAAAGTACACTAATTCGGACATCTCCGCCGAATTGCTGGACAATATCAGCAAGCCCGACATTTCACTAAACCTCTGCTGCCTAACTCACTATCCAATCGCTTACACAGTACCGACTTCCCCCGAACATAACGCACCCTGATAATGAATGTATACATAATGAATGTATACCAGCTATATTTCCGGTCAGGTAAGGAATGTATACCAGCTATATTTCCGGTCAGGTACAGCCAAAAAGAAGATACGTTCTGTTTGGGGGAAGGCGGTAGGATGCCCGGGACTGTCGATAACAACCACTAGTACCAGTTTCAATTGGTCCACGGCCTGCTGAAACACTACGATCCCCAAGAATGTGAGTGTGACCGCACAAAAAGAACCATGGGAGAGCGACCCAAGTGAAATTGCAGGAAGTGAAGCACTGCTTGTTCCGTGTAGGGACCCACCCGGGACAGCACAATTCCTTTAACCGAAGGACGGCACAAAATAGACAAGTCGAACACCACATGCAAACTCTACAGACATCCTCATATGCAATCAGACTACTGTCTTTACAAGAATAGAGTGCCTGGCCATATAGACTGAAAGTAGTGCCTACATCTTTAAACAGTGATCCATGTTTGGGATTTCATGTCAGGACATATGTAACTCGAAAGCGGATGGGATTCCAGCTAACAAGCTGTTAGTGCCAATTTCGCTTGCAGGATTAGTTTCTAAGGACCGTCAGAAAGTCCAATGGTCCAGCATGAAGACTATTCCCAGTACCATTCATTGGTTCACCAGGGGTTTTCACACAGCCCCTATCGGTCATTACCTCTGTGCCTCGAGCCAAGGCCGGACCGGAATGAGCTACCCCTGATGGAAACTTGGAGACTTGCACTGCCTCTTTTTGAACCAGAGACCTGTATTGAAATGCGCACTAGCCGCAACAAGCGTCAGCCCCCGATGAAAACTGGAAGACGTGCACTGTCCCTTTCGAACTCGGAGACCTGCACCAGTATGCGCACTAGCTGCAAAAAAGGTATAACCTACTCGCTGCAAGGAGGGGGGCCCGGGGTCTGGGTAGCAAGCAAAATTGTCATTGCACAGAATTTGACAATTTTTCGACAAATCAGAGCTGTTGTGCCGCTCTTGCAGGGAAAAGTCATCGGGAACTGAAAAAAGAAATTCCCATTGGCAATCAAAAAATTTGATTCATTCTTTTCAAAATTGTTTGAATGAGAAATCCAACAGATTCGGTAAAATAGCTTCAGTTGCAGTTCAGCAATTTGCATTCAGTACTTTCAAAGGACCCCCCATCCCGACGAGTTCAGCAATTAGCACTCACATAACAGCGCAGCATCCTCGACGCGTCCTCGCTGCTTTCTCAAATACAACCCACACAACAGTGGTAGAGATTGTTTGAGAAAATAGCTTCGGTCTCAGTAGTGGTTGGAAAGAGAGAGAGAACATCCCGAGTTCAGCAGTTCGCACTCACATAACAGTGCAGCGTCCTTTATGCTTTCCCGCCTGTAGCCCACATATGCTTTCCCACCTGTAACCCACACAGTAGGGGTTAAGATTTTTCATTTCTTGGGCATACCAGATGTTCATAGCAACTGTGGAGCCGCAAACCTATTGCACAATCGAGAGTTTGCAATTACTCCTACCCCTGCTGGCGCATTCTGATTTGACGACAAATGTATCTATGAAGCTGAGGGGAAGACGGACAGGCAGCTATCGGATGGCTCATTTGCTATGAGACTTAGCTGCCACTAGGAAAGGAGCGAACAACCACTCCAGTTTGGAGACAAATGTAACCAAAAGCTGACATATAGAGCGGCGGGAAGCTATTTGAATGCCTAGTTTGCTACGAGACTATGCTATCACTGCACCTTGCCATTGTTCAATACTAGAATCCCAAAAGCATCACGAGTCCCAAGGACCGCCAACAATTCACGTGCAAAACTCGGTGCGTTTAAGAACTATAATTTTGAGACGAATGTAACTCCACAGCTGATGGACAGGCAGACAGGGAGCTATTGGATGCCTCGTTTGCTCTAGGAACTCACGGTTAATGGGATGCCACTATAATTTTGAGACGAATGTAACTCCACAGCTGATGGACAGGCAGACAGGGAGCTATTGGATGCCTCGTTTGCTCTAGGAACTCACGGTTAATGGGATGCCTTGTCATAAGCGGGATCCCAAAGGCATATCTAGTCCCAGAGATGCAAACTACTTTCGGCTCAATGCAGTATCATCAACCGAATATATCCTCAACCTGTTCAACGATAACTTCACATCCTTTTGAGACGAATGTAACTCCACAGCCGATGGACTGCCAGACAGGTAGCTATCGGATGCCCCATTTGCTCTAGAAACTTGCGATTACCGGGACGCCTTCTCATAAGCGAGCGGAATCCCTCCCGGGGGTGGCAAACTATTTTCAGCCCAATGCAGTAATGCCAACCAAACATCCTCAACCTGTTCAACGATAACTTCACATCCTTTCTCCCTTTTTTTTCATAGCAAATCCATCATCCATTGATTGATGATGCATCTTTCAGCCTTCGACTGATTGCTTGCATCGGGTTTCAGGTTTTCTATTTCACTCCCTTCCTTTCTTAGGGTTCTTTTCACCTTTCCCTCACGCTACTTGTACACTATCAGTCACTGAGAAATACTTCGGCTAAGAGGGTGGTCCCCCACAGAATTCACTCGCATTCTAAATTGGTGTTTAGACAGTTTAGCATCCTTCCTAAGCAGCCATGCTTACCAACCCCAGTCGAAGGGCAGATTCGGACACCAACCGAATTGGGCCAACAATCTGCATGCGCCCAGGTTACTCTCGGCGATTCTATTCTCTCCTGTGTTCTGTTAACTTTCTGCGCGGTTGTGCTGGTTCTATCCACCTCTGCACACTATTGACGTGCAATCTCCGCACCTTCACTCTTTCCAAACAGCAGCAGGAAGTGTCTCATTGAACTGAACCATCTTACAAGATTAGACACACCATCAGCCCACAAAAAGGCCTGCAGGTTTACATCCAAAGACCTTGCTATTCAGACCAACTAACCAAACCCATCACTGCTTCCTACCACCCATGTTGTTCACTCTTCAGCTGTGGAGACGGTCGTAGCTTGAGAACCAATTCAGGTATGGCTGCCAAGGGATTGACCGCACCTTTACTGTGGGGATTCTCAGCACATGGCAGCCCAAGTGAAGTTGGCAACCCAAATGAAGAAAAGTAATCCCCACATGCATATTGAAAAAAATGACGTTCGGACCATACAAACGATGAAACCAGGCACACTCCACCTCCAACCACCCCGGAGGTGTCATGCAGACGATACACCATGGACACCTTTACCAGCACGTACACCTCCCACACAAACTTTAGAAGTCAAAATTAGTCATTCTGAAAAGTTCAGGAACTCTGTGTCCTGAGCGGCGCCATTGCCCACCACAAGGCACGGGCAATTTTGTTTTCTGCCCACCCACTGGCACACCCTGGGGCAGGTCCCCTTACTTTTCGGAACGGCTCATTTTGGCCTCAAAAGTGTGCTGGGCAATGTACTTGTGATTTAACCCAAGTTAGTGCCGAGGATATACAAACTGCTTCAGTAAGCACACTCTCGCTCCTTGGTTTACACTCATTTTTCTAGCTTTGACAAACTATAAGATGCTGAACATCTTCTGCTACGGAAGGGCCATGCGCTCAGAGTGAAACTGCTTAAACCAACGCATCGGCAGTGCTTCTGCAAGCTAGCCTGTCGCAATAGATGCTTCATCATTGCACAAGTACAGCCCACCAGGAACCCCTCTCTCCCGATATTTTCCTATACGCTTTCTATTCTATATACTGTTGTTGAAACATCCAGCAGGTCTCGCGTGACGCCCCACAAGACCTCGCCACCATTCTTGGGAAAAGCCATTGGGACAGGGGTGTTGGGCCCAAGGGAAACCACATGTGTGGGCATGGCACGGCCTCACGTGTTCAAATACAAGAACATAGCGCACTGGCTCAGTACTAAAGCATGCAGCGGATCTTGCGTGACACCTTCACGGGACCTTGCTGCCAATCTCCGCAAAACGCTTGGGACACAGGTGTGTAACACGAATCAACGCTTGGGACACTGGTCTAGATCAGCAGGAAGACAGCTAAGCCATAGATACCAGTAAAGGACCCCGAAGTGCTCCCATGCCAAGCACATTCCAGGTAAACCACAAAAGAGGCAGGTGCTCAGTGAATACAAACTGCTTAATTGAGGTCACTGACTTTCCCTGTTATGAGATCATTCTCATCCTCGCACCAATAACAAAACGGCACGGCTTCTATTACAAGTCCCATCTAGATTACATCCATCTAGCGATCTAAATTAGGTACTCAGTAAATACAAAGTGTCGGTCCCAGGTTAGCGGTCCCTCATTGGGTATGGAATATGGTCTAGATCAGCAGGAAGACAGCTAAACCACAGATACCAGTTTAGCAGCCCCAAGTACTCCCATTCCAGGCAAACCACAAAGGACGCAGGTGCTCAGTGAATACAAACTGCTTATTGAGGTCATTGACTTTCCCTTCTACGACTACATTTTCATCCTCGCACCATTAACAAAACAGCACACAGCTTCTATTACAAGTCCTATTAAGAGCCCCAAGTACTCCCATTCCAGACAAACCACAGGACACAGGTGCTCAGTGAATACAAACTGCTTATTGAGGTCATTCACTTTCCCTTCTATGACTACATTCTCATTCTCCCACCATTAACAAAACAGCACACAGCTTCTATTACAAGTCCTATCTAGAGTACACCCCAGGCACATTGTCTGCGGCAGCGATCTAAACTAGGTACTGTGTTAATACAAAGTGTGAGGGCCCGGTGCGGTGCTCAGTAAATACAAAGTGTGAGAGCCAGGTGCTCAATAAAAATAAGTGTGAGAGCAGTCCTCAGTAAATACAAAGTGTGAGAGCCAGGTGCTCGGTAAATACGAAGTGCGAGAGGCAGGTGCTCAGTGAATGCAAACTGCTCAATTAAGGTCATTCACTCTCCCTGTTATGACTGCATTCCCATCACCGCACCATTAAGAATACAGCAAGGTCTTAAAAAAATAAAAATAAAAGAAGGGCAGCAGTCTTGAGATGTTATCTTCAAACTGACCAGTACCAGGTAAATTCCGAGTTGTATACGAACTCCGGAATTCGAACCGAGGTCTGTATTTCAACAGTTCATGGGTGTACAAACTGAGCTAGGCTCGATGGTACCGCAAGGTCGTTCACCCTCCCGCTTTGGTTACGTTCTCGTCCTTCTGCCTTTACCAAGCCGGAAATATGCTCAACATATTGGTGAGACGTGACCACACATCCCACCCGACATCAACAGGGTCAAACGCTACTGCTTAACAACACAGCTTGGAAGATTGTTATCCGACCAAGCCTTGAAATCCCAGGGAACATTGCCACACACCCACGATCTCGTTCTTGTCATTGACCTACAGATTAAGTGGTACACAAAAACTCCGAGCTGATGGACAGGTAGCCATGACGCCATTGTCTGTTTCCTTCGCTAAGGGGCAAAGCGCCATGGACTGTCAGCCCAGTAAGAGAAAGATGCCACAAAAGACAACTACCATGGGCCACCACTACCTGCAGCCGCTTCCTTCTACACTCGGACCGCGGTCCTTCTGAAGCTCACCAACAGCTGGGACCCTGAGGCCAATAGACACACACGTCTGCCTGGACTACGCCAACTATATCTCCGACCATCTCAAACTTGACCAGGGGATTAACTCGTCAGCCCCGTGCTATTGATGGTTTTGCAACATTATAAGAGATCACTCGGAGCTCGTTCGCATTTTCGTCACCTTGATGTTGAAACAGTTGTAACTCGACAGCTCATGAGATCCAGTTGTCAAGCTA